GCAATAAAATAAATATTTTAAAAACTGTCAGTATTAAAAGCCAATTGCAACTGGCATATTTGAAAGCAGCTAAAAAGTTTAAATTTGATGAACTAGTCTGCGAAAACTGTGAAAACATTGATGAACGAAGTAGGAGAATGTATTTTTCGAATATTAATCCAGATGAAATAATCAGTTCAACAGAACATGCTTATGTTAAAGGTGTAGATTATGAAATTGATATGGTTTTTGTGATGGAAATGGGAGATAATGATTTGCTTGAGTTTGGAAAAGTTACAGAAATATTTGTAAAAGGCGATGACATTTACTTACTTATGAAACCTTTAATTGCTATATCTTTCAATGAGCATTTTTATGCTTATGAGGTTGAATCGCGTAATGTATCAAGATTAAAGAAAGCTTCAGAATTGCCAGATATACATCCCTGTTTACTCATTGAAATGAATGAATGTGTATTTGTAGCTACAAGGTACATCTTATGAGAAGGACATTTTTATTTGTTAAACAATGTATTAATTTTAGTTTTCATTTAAATTTAATTGTTTAATAATTATTAATTAATCAATAAACTATTTAATTGAAAATTTTGCATTCTACTGTTGATTTAAAAACACCCTATCTAATATATTAAACAAAATTTATTTGCAAGCCTTATCTATTCTTTTCTTTATAATTTTTTTCAATGTTAATTGAATTTTTCATTTACTATTTATAATTTAAAATTCCCTGATAATAATGTAATTAATTCATTAATTATTAAATTTATAATTAATTCTTAAACATTAGTGTCATGCATTTGTAATTGTGTTTCATAAATTTTTTTACTATTTAATAATATCAAAATTTTTCTTCGCAGAAGTGCTTTTGTAAAGAAAAAATTTGATTCTAAGTAATAACAAATTTTCAATATAATTTATTATTTATATAAACAAACAAATTATCATGCATTTGTAATTGTGTTTCATAAATTTTTTTATTATTTAATAATATCAAAATTTTTCTTCGCAGAAGTGCTTTTGTAAAGAAAAAATTTGATTCTAAGCAAAAAACAAATTTTCAATACAATTTATTATTTATATAAACAAATAAATTATCATGCATTTGTAATTGTGTTTCATAAATTTTTTTACTATTTAATAATATTAAATTTTTTCTTTGCATAAATGCTTTTGTAAAGAAAAAATTTGATTCTGAGCAAAAAACAAATTTTAATATAATTTATTATTTATATAAACAGACCAATTATTCAGAATAATTAATTGCATTTATAGGTGCAACTGTTTCGCATTTATTGCTTTTCTGCAACCTGTAAATATTGCTTGTAACATAAGTAAACTGAATGTTTCTCCGCTCAATTGATACTACTTGAGAGAGCCAGGCCAAAACTGCCTGGCTGTCAAATTGTGCTGACTTGGGAATCAGAGGTTATGTTAACGCCTGTGTCGGTCAAGTAGTTTTAACCGAGGTCTCCGGTTGATATAACTTTCTTTTTCTCTCCGTGTAGAAAAAAAAATCAAAACAACATTTAAATAGTATATAAACTTTATAAGATTTTGTGGCCTTTGGTCCGTAAAAATAAGGTGTTGGTTTCAAGAATAAATTTAATTGAAAATAATTTTATTTCTATCTAATGCATTTTCGCTGTCAACACAGCTCATCAGGAACTACAATGAAAAAATATACATGTCAATTTAAGTGTACACATGTAGTTCAAAGTATAATATAGAGAAAAAACATATCTTACCGCATTTGGAAATTAATAAAAATTAAAATTTGAAATATAAATAAAAGTATAAATATTATATGAAAACATAACCTCAGTCGATAAAAACAATTAAAAAACAATAAATATGTGGAAAATCTTTGTTCCATAAGGCAGAGGTTCCATAATATTTTGCACAGATGACATATTTTTTACTTTTTGAATTTATGTAATCTTGCAAAAAACAATTAATTCAAAATAAAAGGACTAGATATATCAGTCATTTTTAGGTTGGAAAAAATACATGTGTTCTCACAAAACGAGACACACAATCTAAAAGATAAGGCTGACATATGATATGAAGGTCAGTACACAGGCAATATTAATATTAAAAGAGAAATATGTAAGGAAATTAAATATAAAGGTTAATACACAAGTGCATTAACTTTTTATTTTTATGAAAAACTATTAAAAGTGTGGATAATGTCAAAATACATTATAGACAAATTGTCTGTGTCTGTTCTAAAATTGATGAAACGTCTGTCTTTAACAATGTGAAACATTTCCAATAGATTCAGGTTATATGAAAAGAAAGCGGAGTCAAGAATTTTAACATTACTCTGGTCAAAATTAAAAGTATGTTTTAGTTTAGTTGCGTGTTTACACAAGGCAGTGTTTGTCTTTTTGTGAATTTCTGAATGTTTGTGTTCGTAAATTCTCTTTTTTAAAGGTCTTGTGGTCTTTCCTATGTAAACACACTTACAGATATCACATGAAATCCTGTAAATTACATTGTTCTTTTCAAACTTTGGTATTTTATCTTTTATTGATGGTATTAAGGTGTTTTGAATTTTATTTGTGGTGCTAAATATGGTCGAGATTTTGAGTTTCTTGCATAAAGTAACTATAGGCTGTAATAAGTCAGGGATGTTAGGTAGAACCAATGTTCTTAAAAAGTCAATAGAAACAACATTTGTTCTGGGTATGGTGTTAGAATTTAAAAAATTCATTCTCTTGTCTATGTTATTTTTGATAAAATCAAAAGGATAGTTATTGTGTAGTAATATATGCAAAACAATACCTATATTTTCATTATGAAAACGACCAGAAGCGAAAGGTTTTTGATACCAATTGGTTTCAAGAAAACCATTTTTAAAAATCAATGTTAAGTCTAAAAAGTTAATTATTTTTACGGACAAAAGGCCACAAAATCTTATAAAGTTTATATATAAAAATTAAGGTCCTACAAATAGAAAAATATTTAAATAGTATGCCTGCAAAGTCGTATTTTTTTTGCTGCCCAGATGGGTGTTGACACCGTCTCACAACTAGTGATATGCTGTGTCTCACACCCAGAAATTGGCGCTATTTTGAAAAAGGAAAATTAAATTATTTTTAACCGTAGATTGGAACAATGCAATATTGCATCACAAAATATAAGGAAAACACTAAAAGAAAATGGATTACATTTACCTTTTCCAATTAATTAACTTGGAAAAAAAGTACTTTGCATTTATTGAAAAAACGCTTTTTAGTCGATTATCACACACAGTGTTGGTATTTAACAAAAACAGTTTATATATCCGCTTCGGCGTACACGAAAAAGTTGGCTCATATAAAAAGAAATGTTTTTATATAAACCAATCGGCTTTTTAATATTGCATGTTAAAAAAAATTGACTGTCTCACAACTAGAGGTGTCTCACAACTGGAGACTCTCCCCTACTGTTATAATCTTTATTATTTTCGAATGTTTGTATTTTTTGAAAAATAAACGTACTGATTAAAACTGTAATAAATGTTATTGAATAATTCTCATAATTAAATTTATAAAAATTTGATTTTTAATAGGATTTGACGAAAGAAATTGAAATTATGGGTTCCATTACAATATACGGTATAAACATTAATCAGATTTTATAAATAATCTTTTAATTCGGTTTTTATCAATTTTATTTATGTAATTTTTTAATAGACGAAATAACTGAAGAACAATATATGGAAGCCTATGTTTTAAAAATGAATTTTGAGGATATACAAGTAGGAAAGCATAAAATTGAATGGGAATGCGATAATGCGGCAAAATTTAGGGTTATAATTAACAAAAATGAAAAATTAAGAAATGAAGAAAATAAGAATAAAGAAAAGCAAAACAATTAATTTCCTTTTATAATTATTTTTAATATTAGTAAATTATTAATAATAAAAATCATTTTACTGAAAATTTGTCATTTTGTTGAATTTTTATAAATATACTGTTTTACCTTTAATTTTTAAATCAGATTTTTTCACTATTTTGAATTTTAAAGAATTGAGAAATTATGTTTCTAAAAAATTTCATACATTATTTATCAAGTTTCATTTGAAAGAATTTTTTCAAAAAGCATTTTTTGTAAATATTTGTATAAAATGGTTATCAGTTCATTAGAAGTTTTTTAAAAATTGTATAGAGCTTTCAGAAATACATATTTTGGCATTTTATTTAACATTCTTTCAGTTATAATAAACAAACATTTTAAATAATTGAAAAAGATACTCTATATGAGGTTTTATATTAAATTGTTATTTGAGTTTAAACAATTCAAAAAAAATATTTTTTAATTTTATACAGCGCAGAAGAAAAAAGTTACTAATATTTTCAAAATTAGAAACTTTAAAAAAGATATCTTTTTTATTTCTTTATTATTGTGGTTCTTTGAGTATTGAATTGTAATAATGTATGATAAAAATGTTATTTCTATTCTAATAAACTAAAGGTTTGTATTTATTTTTATTAAAAAATCAGTTATAATAAAGAATTTGGTTTTAATCGGTATGTTTATCTATGTGGAAAATAAAAAATTTAAAAAGTTAACTAAGAGAAGTAATAGAGTAATGAGTTTTACAAAAATTGTTTTAATGATATGTAGGTACTTATGCCTTTAAAAAGGAAAATTAATATTGGTTTAACTTCAGGAGAAGCAAAAAGAAGACGGATTTCTAGATCAAATGTAAGATCATCTCAACAATCAACGGAAGATATCGATGCTGTTAACAGAGAGCGACTGATAAGGAACAGAGAGCGGCAGGCATTAAACAGGCAAAATGAAACGTCAGAGAAAAAAGAAGAAAGACTTGCTAAGGATAGAATGCGTCACCATATTTAAAGGAAAATGGAGAATACACACGTGACAAGATCAAGATTAGCAAATAATCGTATTCGAAATTCGCAAGCTAGAATGAGCGAGAATGTTGAACAAAGGAATGAGAGATTAACAAATAATTGAGAGCGAAGTGCAAATGTTAGAGCAAATGAGAGTATGGAGACGACGAATGTGAGATTACAGAGTAATCGTGAGCGAAATGCTGTTGTTAGAGAAAATGAGAGTATGGAGACGAGGAATGTGAGATTACAGAGTAATCGTGAGCGAAATGCTGACGTGAGAGCAAATAAGAGTATAGAGCGAAGGAATGTGAGATTAGAAAGTAATCGTGAGCTAAATGCTAACATTAGAGCAAATGAGAGTATAGAGCGAAGGAATGTGAGACTAGAGAGTGATCGTGAACGAAATGCTGAAGTTAGAGCAAATGAAAGTTCGGAGACGAGGAATGTGAGATTAAAGAATATTCGTAAGAGAAATGCTGTTGTTAGAGAAAATGAGAGTATGGAGACGAGGAATGTGAGATTACAGAGCAATCGTGAGCGAAATGCTGTTGTTAGAGAAAATGAGAGTATGGAGACGAGGAATGTGAGATTACAGAGTAATCGTGAGCGAAATGCTGACGTTAGAGCAAATGAGAGTATGGAGACGACGAATGTGAGATTACAGAGCAATCGTGAGCGAAATGCTGATGTTAGAGCAAATGAAAGTACAGAGACGAGGAATGTGAGACTAGAGAGTAATCGAGAGCGAAATGCTGTTGTTAGAGAAAATGAGAGTATGGAGACGAGGAATGTGAGACTAGAGAGTAATCGAGAACGAAATGCTAATGTTAGAGCTGAAGAAACTTTATATGAAAAAGAATCTAGGTTGGCCAGAAATAGAAATAGACATCAGATTTATAATAATTTGAATGTAAATCGATTATCGGAGCAGACTACACGAATTCGAGAAATAAGACAGAGAGAAAGTATTGAAGAGACTGCTGTCAGACAACGACTTGACAGAGAAAGACCACATGTTATTTACGATTTAGAGCCAGACATTGTCAGAGTACACAGACTTAACGAAGAACGACTAAGACATGCTAATAGAGTTTTGAGAAAATGGCAGGAAAAGGTTAATAGTGGATTTTCTTATAATCCACTAATTGAGTATTCACAAGCTGCTAATATAGGAAATATGGATAATGTCTGTAATCATTGTCGTGCCTTAAGATGGACAAATGAATCTAAGGGAATTTGTTGTTCCTCGAGAAAAATTTCACTACCTCCTATATTAGAAGCACCTGAACCACTCAGATCATTACTTGATGGTCATCATTATAAATCTAAATCTTTTCTAAGAAATATAAGATCATATAACAGTGCCTTTCAAATGACCTCATTTGGAGGTAATGAAATTTATGAACCTGGTTTTAGACCTACCTTTCGCATACAAGGTCAAGTATATCATCTGATCGGTTCTCTTTTGCCGCCTTCTAACCAGCCTTCCTCATATTTACAAATTTATTTTATTTCTGATGCTCAAGAGCAGGTTCAAAGAAGAATGTCTGTTTTTAGTGACCTTGACTTTGAGATACTAAATCAATTGCAAGATTTACTCCATGAAAATAATAATTTAATTCGCAGTTTTAAGAATGCTTTACAAATCTTACCCTCCGACGCAGAAAATTATCGATTAATGATTAAGACTGATCGACAACCTGCAGGGGAGCATCGTGGAAGATATCTCGCGCCATCTGTAAGTGAGGTTGCAGTAATCATGGTGGGAGAACCAAGTGACGCCAGAGATATTGTCTTACAGAAAAAGACCGGTGGCTTGCTCAGAATATGTGAGACTCATCGGTCTTACCATGCTCTCCAGTATCCATTGATGTTTTGTTGTGGTGAAGATGGATATAATTTTCTGAATCGACATATAGATCCTATGACAGGACAATTTACTAACAAAAAAATTTGCGCATTAGAGTTTTATGCATATCGTTTAATGGTCAGACAAAACGAACCTAATCAATTGCATCAATTTAGGCAACTGTTTAATCAGTTCCTGGTAGACATGTATGCCAAAATTAAAAGCGAAAGATTACTTTACATTAGATTGCATCAAAAACAACTAAGAGCAGAAAATTATATACATCTTCAAGATGCAATGAGAAGAGATGAAAATATTGAAGTTTTAGGTCAGGTAGTGATTTTGCCTTCAAGCTTTACCGGTGGTCCAAGATATATGCATTCGCGCACACAAGACGCATTTTCTTACGTTAGAAAATTTGGTCGTCCAGATCTTTTCATTACAATCACTACCAATCCAAAATGGAATGAAATTACTTCTCTTTTGACAAACGATCAGTCTGCACAGGATCGCCACGATGTCATTTCCAGAGTATTTCATTTAAAGTTAAAATGCTTAATAGCCGTTTTGAAAAAAGGTAAAATTTTTGGAGCTGTGCGCTGTTTTACTTATTCTGTGGAATGGCAAAAGCGTGGCCTTCCTCATGCTCACATATTATTATGGTTGGAAGAACAATTACGGTCAAATCAGGTAAACGAAATTATAAGTGCAGAAATTCCTAATCCAGTTGACGACAAAGATCTTTACGATTTGGTAAAGAGTCACATGGTTCACGGGCCATGTGGTGCTTTCAACATGCAAAGTACGTGCATGAAAAATGGTCGATGCACTTAAAAATTTCCTAAGCAATTTTTAAGAGAAACAGTGACACACGATGATGGCTATCTTGCTTACAGGAGACGGTCTCCTGAAGATGGTGGGATAACAATTGATTTTAAGGTTAGGGGAGAAAACATACTTATTGACAATAGATGGATTGTACCATACTCACCAGTTCTTTTACGAACCTTTAAGAGTCATATCAATGTGGAGAATTGCGGCAGTGTAAAATCTATAAAATATATATGTAAATTTGTAAACAAAGGAAGTGACCAAGCCACATTTGGTGTAACTAACGACAATGATGAAATCACAAGATATCAAAGTGGGCGGTATATTTCAACTTCTGAAACAGTTTGGCGAATTCTTGAATTTCCAATACATGAAAGATACCCGCCTGTGATTCATCTAGATGTTCATCTCGAGAATGGGCAGAGAGTGTACTTCACGCCAGAGAATGTCCAAGAACGTATAGAAAATCCAAAAAATACTACTCTTATGGCATTTTTCAAACTCTGCTAAACAGACAGTTTTGCAAAACTGTTGCTGTACTGTGAACTACCCTCATATTTTACTTTTAATAAAAACCGAGGCCAATTCTCGAGAAGAAAAAGAGGTACACCAGTGGATGGTCATGTTGGAGTTTTTAGAGATCCCGCAATTGGAAGAGTATATAGCATTCACCCTTATAATAGTGAGTGCTATTATTTACGCATGCTTCTCCATCACGTTAAAGGTCCCACATCGTTTGAGAGTCTACGAACTGTTATGGGCGTGGTACGTCCATCATATAAGTCTGCTTGCCTAGACTTAGAATTGATTGAGGATGATGTTCACTGGGAAGAGGCGCTTAGAGAAGGTGCTGCTTTTGATACTCCTTCCAGACTAAGAGAGTTATTTGCAGTTATATTAGTATTCTGCGATCCTAAAGATCCGTTAGATCTGTGGAATAAATTTAAAGATTCATTTGCTGAAGATTATTTAAGAGAAGCCCAAAGAACAACTTCAAATGTATCTTTCGATATTCTCCTCATTTATATGATCTTTGCTTGGCAGCAATACAAGCAATAACTCTCCGTATAAGAAACAAAATTCTTAGTGATCTGAATCTTCCTTCTCCTTCCTCAAGTAATCATTTAACAAACACTGAATATACTCGAGAGACCAGCTATGATATAAATCAACTATTGTCGTTTGTAAGAGAAAACGAAAGTTCTCTTACAGATGAGCAAACTGAAGTTTATCGTAAAGTTCTTTTAAGTATAGATAGTGATTGTCAAAACAACGTCTTTTTTCTCGATGCTCCTGGAGGTACTGGCAAAACATTTTTAATTAATTTAATTCTTGCTAAAGTAAGAAGCCAAAGTAAAATCGCGTTGGCCGTAGCTTCCTCCGGAATTGCAGCTACTCTTCTTCCTGGTGGACGTACGGCCCATTCGATGTTCAAAATTCCTTTTAACATTCAACAGATCGAAACACCGGTTTGCTCTATATCAAGAAATGCTGCGATTTCTCATGTCCTTAAAGAGAGTGTCCTTATAGTATGGGATGAATGTACTATGGCTTATAAAAAATGTTTCGAAGCTGTAGATCGTACACTCAAGGACATAAGAAATAATAATTCAATTATGGGAGAGGTGACAATGTTACTATCTGGTGATTTCCGACAAACTCTTCCCGTTGTACCTAGAGGAACAAGAGCTGACAAGGTTAATGCTACAATAGAGAGATCATTTCTGTGGCCAAATATCAATCGTTTATCGCTTTCAATAAACATGAGAGTAAGGCTTGGAGGAGAACGAGAAGCTCAATAATTCTCGAACCTGTTAATGAGAATTGGAGATGGTGTAATAGAAAACAACGATGGATATATTACTATCCCACCATCTCTAGGAACAGTCATCACCTCTCAGGAAGTTTTGATAGAGAAAGTATTTCCCGGAGTTGACCAATTAACATCAATTAAGAATTCTTGGTTATGTGATAGAGCCATCCTAATTAAAGCGCTTGCAGTTTCCGGTTTCTCTTTGTTTTGCTATGACGATAAATAAATCACAAGGTCAAACACTATCCATAGCAGGGATAGATGTTAGTTCTTCTGAATGTCTTGCTCATGGACAGTTTTATGTAGGATGCTCCAGAGTTGGTTCATCTGAGTCTCTGTACATTCATGCTCCAAGTGGACAAACAAAAAATGTTGTTTATTGTGAAGTATTGAGATAAGAAATTTTAATTTATTTATTATTTTATTTCATATAACTTTTTCTTAATAGCGAAATGAGAAGTCGAGAAGACCTAACACCCGTCGAAGACGGGTACGACAGCTAGTTATAGCATAAAATTTAAAAATGTGTCTTTCTCACCCCGATCTACTTTACTATTTAACAAGTAATGAACATTTTTCATTTTAATTTTTTTACTTAAAATTTTTGAATGTTTTAAAATACAATAATTGTTAAACCGTTTTTATTATATAATCAAAACTTTAAATTAAGTACTTATTTTTCATTTCTCTTATGTTATACATAAATACATTGTATATTTATTTTATTGATAATAAAATTAATGTATTTTTTAAAAAAAATTTTAAAAAAATATAGAGAACTTGCTATGTAATAATGGCCATAGCGTTGTCAAGGAAAAACTAAAAAATTTTTTGATAAAAATTGTTTTTTTTCTAATAAACCCATTTTAAGTTAATTAGATCAAATAATGTAGAAATTAGAAAAAAACCATTTTTTTCAAAAATTTTTTTAGTTTTTCCTTGACAACGCTATGGCCATTATTACATAGTAAGTTCTCTATATTTTTCATGTAATATTCGCGTTAAAATACACCAGTATGCCAAATTTTAGCCCTCGATGTTGAATAGTTTAGAAGTGAAGGGGGGGAATGGTCACTTTTTATGCCTTTTTGGCCAAAAATCTTGTTATTTCCTTGACAACACTATGGCCATTACCTCCAATCACATTCTCTATATTTTTCCTGTTCCGCCGATACACCGTAGGTGTACGGAACCCTAAAAAGAAATAAAACTGTTCTTACTAATAAATAAAACAATTATATTCGCTTAATATGTATTCTAAAATTCATTAAAAAAATTTATATTTTTTTTAACAGAAAATGAAAAACCAGCAGCCAATCTTGAAGATAATTTGCCTTTGATAAATGATGCAAGTGGACATAACAGTAAACTATCATCAATAATGACAATGACATTTCATGATGAAGAAATTAAAAAAATGTTTAAAGGAAAAATTTGAAAATTTACACGACAGCAAAAATTTATGGACGGCTAACGGAAGTATCGCAGACGAAACTAGAGAACTAGATTTTGTGTTTTCTTCAGCATTTCTTTTCAAATTACTAGGATTCACTGTCGCTGATCTCAGTAACATAAAAAGATAAGAAATATTATAAAGAAAATAAAGAAACATTTTAAAAATATTACAAGGCAATTTGAAATTACAATGAAAAAATTGAATTGGAAATTTACCAATTTGGAGAACCAATTTTAATAAAATGCAATTTCTTAATTTTAACAAGCCTTTAAATTTCATAAAAGAAATGAAAAATAAAAAATTAAATAAATAAAAAATCTTATCACTCTTAATAAATGTGATTAATTATCATCTTAATAAATATATATTACAAAATTAAAATATATTTTTTTATTTAAATAACCTCCCATCATCAATTATCCTTAATATGAAACGAGTAGATATGCAAATTAGGTAAAGAGAGACAGTCTAATGTTACTTATCCTCGAAAGAGAAAGAAAGCAATAGCGTTAGATGTTCTGCGTTATAAACAGAGACCGATTTATGTTATTTCTATTTGGAAAGAGGAAGAAGGCAATAGCGTTAGATTTTCTGCGTTATAAACAGGGACCGATTTATGTTATTTATTAAGAAAGAAGAAGACAGAAAGATATTTGAAATATATATATATATATATATATATATATATATATATATATATATATATATATATATATATATATATATATATATATATATATATATATATTATGACGGTTCTTTTAATAATAAATCAGAAAATTTATAAGATTCAGATAAACATTAATTCCCTTACACGTCAATAATCAATTCAACACCAAACATGTTTGTCAGACGCCAGTTAGTTTAATTATTGAAAAACTAACAAAGACAATCAATCAATAAATGATAAATAAAAATCTAGAACCAATATTAATTTCAATCAAAAAGATCTCAAAGGAGATTCCGTTGGGAAAAGTCAAATAAAGGGGAAATTTAACCTCTGAGACACAACTCCATCATAGTGTAATTCTACTTACTATTTTCTAGTCAAAATATTTTCTCTGCTTGTCACCAGGTAAAAAAAATTCCTCGGCGAAATAACACAACTTATGCTTTTTTAGATAATATTTATTATCAAACAAAACTCTTCTAAAATTACTTTCAAAAATACAATTCCTTGTCCCTTGTCACACTTCTCTCTTTCAAATCAAACTCTCAAACACATGTCTATTTAACGACAACACAAATCGAACTCTATTCAAAAATGTGCTTTCGTCGTCTGCTACATTTTTCGCGAAGCGCCGGTACACACTTGTCAAAAAAGGGGAATTTACATTTCTCTCTACGCCTTAAAGTCAAAAGGACTAACGCGCTAAACCCAAATTCAAATAATTATTAATTGAAATTATAATAATAAAAAGAAAGTGAATAATTAACATATCATGACGAAACCACTTCGTCACAAAACTCCCCCCTTGAGATTGAATCTAACTCTTATGCATTCGAACTCACATCAGAAACATACACCTCATAACAAATCAAATCAATGAAAGTAAAAAAAAATACTTTTTTCATTTAACAATACTAAACAAAAAAAATATAATAATTAACTAAACATTATCCTACTTCAACACACAAAAAAAAATTTTACAAAGTTCACTTCACTTATAGTCTTTAATTCTTGGTTCCGTTCACTGCATCAATTTCTGGATGGCCATATTGATTGTTTCCAGC